AAAAAAAATAAAACAGCTTGCAACCTCACAGAAGTTTTACAATTTTGCATACTCTTGCAATTTACATATTTTCTTTAGTTTTACTTTGAAATATGCAATTATTTGATCTCATCATACAGTTGAACACCTAATCATAAAGGATTTATTTTCTTTCCTTCTAGCCATATATATATTTCTGACTGAGAATAGAGGAAACAACAGTGCAAAAGCAAACTATGCTAGTGTGAGGTAAAATTCTATGTGATTCTTTGAAGGAATGCATATCACCTGCCACGCTTAATGCCATAATTGTAGCTGTTTTGGTMAAACTTTGAAAGTAATGTTTTGTGACGAGAGATATCAGCAAGACTCCAACAGTTTGTTAGGTGTAGATGTGCATCCAAYATGTATTCCAATAACACCACACAGTTTTATATTGAGATAACAGACAAAAAGGGTTGACTCCCTGATTGAATGAGTAGCACTTGGAKGATGYATTGTGAATGATTATCAGCTACAATCACATAAAACTTTAGCGAAATATTTGCAAAACTGACTGAATCGCAACGGGATTTGCAATTTTTAAATTCAACTGACTATTGCAGCCTTCTTCACTTGGGCTTGTTTTAAAAGTTGTGCTGTTGTAGTCCTTACAATGATTATTTTCTGAAAGTTTTATCAAAATCTGTCCAGTGGTTCACAAATTATATTCTAACAGACAAACAACAAKAATTTTACACTATCTGCCAGCACTCAGAATATGTGTTGGTGATTTGTCTCAGCTACTGCAACACCAAATCTTACAAACATCTGTATGATTGAAAGGAGATTATTTTAGTTTTTGTTAGAATCCATCAGCCATCTTGAATCAGACTGACYTCAAAAGTTAAGTGGTTGTAGAAGTCCATCTGTTAATTATATATTTATCTCATTAAAATTAGTTTAGTGCTATGTGAGACTTTTTTTTTGTATTAGAGACACATAAAGATACACCGAATGATTTTGAATAAATAAAATATAAAATGACATTATTGTCCATCTGCATTTTATGGTAGCAGTCGATAATATTAGTGCTGTTATTCATCTTCCTTGTGATGTGCCAGCAACATGTAGGTTTGATATTCCTTTTTTTCTTAGCTATTTCATCATCTAAACTGTTTTATTTTATTGCCATCCATGTTATAAACTAATATGAGACACTGCTTGACAATATTCTCAAATAGATTCTATGCATTTCAAAGTGTGGTAAAGTCCAGAGCTAAGGTATAAATYTTGATCATTTTGTACAGCTTGAGAGGAAAAGCCTTGATGCTTTTGTGGAAGTGTGGCAGGGAGTGTTTCCACACATAGMCCCTTACAAAATCAAATGTTAGCACTTCCACACTATATTTGCAGAGACTTAGTGGCTCGTCGTTCAAGGCCTCACAGCACAAACACAGTCTTTTCAAGGCCTTACAACAGAAGCACAGAAGAGAGCCTTGATGAGTTAAATCRCTTTGCACAAACACTGAGGAATTGTCAGTAAAGCAGCAAAATCATTGGCAATTCTTGTCAGGTCTCTGGTAAGCATCACTCTGTGCTGCRGAGAGGAGATAGCAAAATAGAGCACAGAATGGATACAGAATAATTACTCTTTCTCCTCTCTCCCTGCGTCTTTTAAGACCTAGGCTATGATTCCACCACAGCCCTGCGCTATGATGTCAAATATGCAAGGTAAAGTTATAGCTTACTGCATCTCTAATGTGTCTCATATTTTTCATTACTTRCGCAAAAATTCATGGGGGAGAGGTTTCAAACGAGGCCTTTGAAAATTCCCAAGGATGCTTATTGTCCAAATATTAACACAACAAAGTGAACTACCTTGAATATTTTAATTTAGGGCAACAGATTTTGTTTACAAGGCACAGCACAATGCAGTGTACCAACAATTTAATAGGATTTCGCTCACTTCAAACACACCACTCGTATGCCCCCGAATCCAAAGTTTGCGGTTGTATTGCTCAGCATTGCGAGTGTTCACACTTCACAGCCCTGCTTAAGAAGTAGGGCACTGCAGCTGCAGACGAAGAGTGCTCACACTCACTWACAGCCCCGTTAAAGAAAGTTAAAACGAGACTTGGGCATTTTGCACTTATATTTCACTGCGCCTTAATGCACAAGACATCAGTGGAACAAATTAGGGCCTTAAAAACTCATTGACAATTTCTTCTGAGCATAGGTTAAGTGTTCAAAAAATTGTAATGAATTAATTCCTAATTGTCTTTGTCATTACGTGAGGTATCGCTGAGCAGTAGTCAGTATTTTAAACCTTAAAACAGCCTGTCCTTTGAACACTGTGATAAGCGTTACGAGYTGCAGTTGTTGTAGAGCAGCAGAGCTTCATGTTCTTTTCAGTTAAGCAAAAGGCTATAAAAGAGTGACAGTTCTTTACATCTTGTTTCATTGCCATAATCAAGAAATCAACCTCAAGTGACAGTCAGTGAGTGTGCATGGGCTGATTGGAGAGGTTTGATTGAATGTGAAATAAACAAGGTTTCCCACAGTGCATCGCAAAAAGGCTATTAAATGATCTTTATGTGGAAGACCATCAAGGCTTTGATAGTTTAGTGGTAAGCATGAGTTTCTTTCTTTCTTTCTTTCTTTCTTTCTTTCTTTCTTTCTTTCTTTCTTTCTTTCTTTCTTTCTTTCTTTCTTTCTTTCTTTCTTTCGTCAGTGATTATATAATTAGGCAGTGTATGTAGTGTATGATTTATGCCCTAATTTATGTCAATTATATAATCATTGTACAATTCTGGACCTATAGGGAACACTTGAATGTGTTGTTTAAAATCCCAATGAAATGAACAATCTGAATATATCCCAATTAATTATCTTAGATCAGCATATTTAATAGAAGACTAATTTGTTTCAGGTGTACTTTTTATGCTTTTCCCCCTAATTAAAACATCCAAAATGTTTTGATTAAAAATAACAAATGTAGCACTACTTTCTTCTACGTAACTGGCAGTCCCTCATACTTGACATGTCTAGTACGTTTAATATTGGTATTTTTCATTCCTTCCCTCTGGACATCTTCTATCACCACGTGTAAAACTGGTGGAACTGTCTCCTTGTTTCATCTCAGTGGGCTGCAACTAATGGCGACAAACTGCATGAGGCTTTTGCGCAGGACTTTCCRGAAAGTTTTGAAACATTTGTATAGGTTCGAAATTTCCCCATGTGAGTTGCAAATACTAAGAATTTCAAATATATTTGAAGAAGAAAAAAACATGTKTTTTCTTAGTTAGAGTGACATGCGCATCCTAAGTTGTTGAAGTTACACGAAACATCAAAATTAATTACACCTGGGCCTTTGCAGGCCATCATAACTCTTATGTTTGCTTTAAAGGGATCCACAATGAGTTGTAACATTAAACTTTTTTGATAAACATTTATTTTAACTGTAAAATAAAGACTGTAAAARTACTGTAGGCTGATWAGTTTTGTATTWTTTWTAWATATATWTTAACAYGGACAGGGCCATTTTATTTGCACGCAAAGCGTTCTGGGTAAATGATGACATCAACTAGGTCATCGGTGCGAGGCTGCTAGCGAGCAATATCCACCCTGAAGGTTAATCTTGGACAATATCTGACGATYGACTCTTTTAAATGAAACCAGAGAGCGTTGACAGAGAGGAGAAGGTAGAAATGACTCAGCCTGTAACTGAAAATATAGATGGAGGACAACAGAGCTGCTTCATGGAAGAAGAACAGCATCTGAACCTGACTCATGTCTGTCTTTCATTTTATTTTTRTCCTCTATTAAACATGTTCTCGTATTACATGGAAGACCTTATGTAATCYCAATAATACAATGATTTGCTTTGTTCTTTTTTCACATTTTGCAAAACCTTTATGTGCACATCTTAAAAAAAGACAGGGCCTAAATAGCAACTGGGTGAACAATTTGACTGTTCCCATCACAAGCACATTTCAGCAAATCATTGGAGTAAACACCATTGGACTTTGTTACCAGTCAAAATGAACATTTTTGCMTTTTGGCCACTAGCTTAAAGCTTGGCAAAGTTAATTTTCTGTGATTGTGATCTTATCTTTTTTTTTTATTTCAAGTTGATCATCACTGTAAAATATTACAAATTTGAAGAAAAAAATGAGAATATGCCCATGTGCCAGATAAATTGTAGATGTGTGACAAACCTGACAATACATTCAGTTAAACTTACTACAACATACTTCTGCTTTTGATGGGCCAGATASAGTATCAGTGTGACTGTATTGTGTACAATCATTTGCGATAGTACAGTRCATTTCAAAAAGGCATTTAGACACTGTCTTAATTTCTATTTGGTCTCAAACCTGCTTTGTACACATGCAATTGTTGTATATTTGTTATATACTGTGTTTCTCTCATTCAAAACCAGAGACTGTATCCATTGATAAAACTCTCAAATTAAACGGATGGAATTACTAATGTGTATCACCACTGCTCGTTCCCTTACACCTCACTCCCTCAACCACCAATAAATTATTAAAGCTTCATGATTTTCTGACAGTTTAATGACTTTGGACAAAGAGCGAATGAGGAAAGGCTGAATCTTATTGCCATTGTGCCACAAAAGMTGGGATCCAAAAAGCTGCCGTTCACTGATGTATAATCAAATAGTTATCAGCCACTATGCTGTACCATCACATTTCTTAAGTGAAACTTCATCTCTCTTTTTTAATTCATTTTTGATTGATATGTTTTCATCATTTCTTTGTCTCTCTTCTCCACATACTGTTTGCTGTTCCTCATTCTTCACCCATACCAGGGTGATGGTTTCTGATGGATAAGTTGCCCCCCCCCCCCCCCCCCCCCCCCCATCTCTACTCAACTTTTCACAAGACACTTGTTTTTGCTGGAGAATGAGGTGTGTGATGAAAGCGAGCCTCCTCTGAGAAAACTGGGTGTTGACAGTCACCTCATTTCCCTCCGAGTTGATAACGGCGGCATTCCACATCTCACCTGTCTTTATGTTGCACCAGTGAGCTGACAGCAACCACTCTGATCTGGGTGAATGGGGATGAGTAGCATTGTCCCACAACTCAGCAGAAGTGTTTAGAAGTTATGTTTTTTTATATTATTATTATTATTATTATTATTATTATTATTATTATTATTATCATTTGGAATTGAAAATACAACTCTTTTTTGGACTTGACTTCATTACCTTTAGTAGACTGGTTATTTGGGTTCAAGCCTGTAAATGCTTAAAGACTTTAATGAATGTGCTGAAATACATGTTTTCTACTAATAGTTTCCGTTTTGAAAAAAAAAAAAGCTACAATGTTTAGATTATTGTAAGGAACTAATTTCACTTACTGAGCAGTAGGTGTCACTGTCACCTTTTCAAATTGGTTTTGCAACTCTTCGATAGTAATACTTGAATGGATATCAACAACTGATTAACTTTTGGAGTCAATCCAAATCAAGATGCCTGTCATACCTAATTGGATTTAGATAACACAACAATAGCTATAAACACGGCCATTTTACAGATATTGTGCTACAATTTTTGTGTAGTAATAGTCATTTACAGCAGATACTTTGCGCAATACACCTCGCACTATCACAAGATTGTGCAAAATACTTTTTTCAAGGTTTGAACAAAATGCTTTTATGTACTATGTAATTTATAATACAATATTTTAGTTTTAAACTTAAAAAGTGACAGACAATATGCTTTATTTTTAAGTATTCTGTATCTTTAATTGTATTACTTTCTTTAAGTTATTATACATTGCATTAGTCATAAAAACTATTTAAGAAAGTAAAAACTCTTTCCAAACATGTGGATAACCTAAATGAACTTTTGTTTAATCAGCAATGAATTCTAAAACAAAAATAAATAAGACAYGCCACAGAAATAAATTTAAAAAAACCTTGTTACTACATATATTGCTGGTCCATCCAATGTACAAAACACCCAAACCCAAAGTGAGCAGTGTGGTGTATGTAGTTCAGAGCAGAGGAGAATGCTTAGACATTTGAAAAACTAAACAGCGTCTTCACAAATATATCTGGACAACATTCAGCTGTGCACTTACACCTTAAGGTTATTTAGGTCAGATAAACTAGATGGTTATAAAGTGACAAGAATCATTCATGCCAAGCGAGAAAAAAAAAAGAAGAAAAAACAGAGGAGGAGGTTTCAGATKTCAGCTTTGTAAAACACAATGAAGCATTAAGCCCGATACCATTGTATCATTTTTACCTCTAATTCACACCTTCATGCACGTGACCAAAGCRTCTCTCTTGTGTGCCAGGCAATCAAAGACCCTAAAGACTTTTCTTTGTGAGGGGAGTGAGAGTAATATGCATGCAGTTTAAAGTTTGGAACTCCACAGGCAAAAGTTCCTTATTAGAGAGTGACATATTTTAACTTCTGAATATAAGTCCAGATGTAATAT